TTGTAAATTACGATGAGAATGCATTAGAAAATTGGTTGCTTTTTGATAAATTAGATAATATTTGATTTAACCTTGTTTTGTTTCGCTAATAAAAATTATACTAGCAATATTTACCCCAAAATTTCACTAGTAATCAAAAACCTTTAAATTGATTAGTTCCGTATTCTAATTACATAAAATTTCTTTTTTTTTTAAACTTGTTTATCTCCAACTAAATAATCCATTAGATAATATGAAAAAAGTATTAATTCCTCTCTTTTTACACAGAACTGACACTTGTTGTGATTGTCAACCTGGCCATTCCTTCAGAGCTAACTGGTGCCTTGACCTTCACGGATTTTTATCCCGCGAGGAGTTCACCGCTAGACTTAACCAAATTAATACTCATGTTCAAGGCGTTGAACTAATGACCAAAAAAACAAAAATCTTATTATACTTTGTCGCCTCAATTGGGGCTACTTTATTGTCGATTATCTTCAGCGTAATTATGAGATCGGCAACGGGGTTACCTATAGGCTTTAGTATATCCTTCTTTTTCGCTAAATATATGATCGAAAAAAATGCGGCAGAACGCGCAATAGCATTTACTCATCTCCTAAACGAACTTTTTGCACAATATAATAAACATGAAAATCCAACCGCTAATTGGAAATTCTGGTTGGTTAGTTCCTATGAAAGATACGTTACTGATTTGGATGTAAGAGCTTATGGAAATGGTCATATAAACAAAGAAAGGTAAAGTACTATTGTTTTACACTTAGCATTTTTTTCGCAAACTTATTTGCTGACAATGCACTAATAATTCTTGAAATCAATGATGCCCTCTCCGATCTTACCAAAAACACTGTTGGCGTTAACCTTAGGGTAGTCCCAACTATTCTAATAGTATCAACTATTCTAATAATGCAAACTATTCTAATGAGATGGCAATTATTAATAATAATATCCCTGTTCAAGATGTCCCTATTAATACCACACAGACCATTGACACGAAATATAATTAGAATAAATAACTTATTTTTCATTTTATAGTTGAACTTTTTCGGATAAATAATTAGCTATACGTACAAAAATTTAGTCTAATTGATATTTATTCATTTGCTATCTATATTACCATGATTTGAAAACTGATTTAACCTACTTTTGCAATTTAATATCAAACTCATTATTATAATAATAAAATTATTAATAAAATTGATTTGAGCATACTGTATAGGGAAAGCGAAAAATAATTTAGTATATATTAACGGCATACAATTCATGTTTAACAACTCATTGTCATTAGCAAGCAATAATAAAGTATTTATTTATTCTAATTAGAAAAATATTTAATCAGTTTATTTAACCGTTTCTTAGCGTGGTATATAGATTTTTTATATCCTTTTTCGTAATATTCCATGCTGTTAAGAGGTTGATTAATATCACAAATAATATGTTTAAAAACTTTTCAACCGGCATTATATGCTTATTTGAATCTTTATCGCTATGTAATTATAAATAGATTTTGAATTATTATGAATAAAATACAAACCAATTTCAATTTCTTTAAACGGCTAACGTTGCTAATTTTCACAGTCATTGTAATTTTCAACTTGATACTGATAAGCTAACGGAATATTTGCTGAAGCGGTATAGGTAGGTTCGAAATATTCAAAGCTTATTCAGGTTTTAGTTTGATGGTTTCTTGTAATTAACGGAATAACAGCTTGTTCACGATATTAAAAACGTGTCTATAATAAATTTTTGCACCTCTATTTTTTTTTTCAGGAAGAAAAGACACGAAAAATATTATGCTAAACTAACGCTAATACTGTAACAATATCGATTATTAACTTTTATGTAATGCTTAACATGACAATGCAAATACGTAATTTTGGCTTCCAGTTCTGAAAGTCCTTATCATTCCGACCTATCTTTCCGGTCGATCATCCGATTCTAACATGGTACACATTTTCTAGGTGCATAAATTTAATAATTATCGTTATCTCATAGCTTGTCGTCTACTTATTTCGTTACACTAATCCGTCTTCCCTTACCAGTCTTTTTTGTATTACCATTAGGGGAAACCTTTAAGCGACGTCGTACGTACATACATCCATAGAATTTTTGTCAATACATATGAACATTATAGTTATATTTACTATTTTATATAGCAAATTTATCTAAAGAGATGTTATTTGAGTTATATTAAATTTGCGCAAGTGTTTATTTGTGCGTAGAGCACAGACATTAAATGCATTTGAATGTGTATTTGCAGTTAAAACTGTAGTTTAACGTTAAACCTTAATTTGAGACGCTAAGCTTAATTTATTTAAACCTTTTTAATTAAAACAGAGTGTACATTCTCTGTTAATAAATTCTCCATGCTTAACGCTGCCAACTTAATTAAATTTAAAACGCTAAAATAATTTACAAAAAATTTTGTTTAGTAATTATAAAAATTGATCATTGATATATTATATAATCTATTAAACTATCCATAATACAGTAAATATCTTTATTATATTAAAATCTCTTTCGAACTTCTAATATAATCGATGAATCAACCTATACAAATATAAACCATACAAACCAAAACATATTCAGAAAAACAAAATAGAACATTGAAATGAAAGGTGCATGTAATCCAAAAGAAAATGGTTGGATTATTAATTATATAACAAGTAACGTTATTAGTGATCGTATCGCAACTTGTCATTATTGTTTAAAATATTGAAGCTATGGATATCTGCAAGAGTTCTTTTCATATAAGATTATTGATTACAAGCGAACAAAAAGTGATTTATAATTATATTAGCAATTAAGTAGCTAATTATAATATAGAAAATGGTGTCTTTGCCTTAAAATCACCTTACGACATTTCCGATCGGACTAATTAGACCCAAATCTCGGTTAGTGTTTATATGTGAATCATATTTGATCTTTATTAATTCCGTATGGGCGGATTTTTTCGATTTGGTGATTATTAAAAATTTATGATAACATTTTATAAAATTTAATCCAATCATTTATGTGATATTGTATGATTTCCGGTAAAATAGAATTGATATTGCATGATCTCCGGTAAAATTGAATTGTGTAAGATGGTCAATTGCTCGCCTTGATTATTAATCCGCTTATGAATCGCTTATGAAACCGTTTATGAAACCGCATAATAATTATAAATCATCGTTGTATTTAATGGTCAGTTGCTTTTCTTAGTTGTAAATTGTTTATGAAACTGATCATGAATCCGCATAATATTTATAAATCATTTATAAATAATTTATAAATCATTACGTACATCACTTAATTTTAATAATCACAACACTCCCATCAAAAATTTTAGCCCATACGTCAATAGTTTATTGAATAAACAATTGAATCAATAAGTCAAAATGCGATTCACATATAACACTAACCAATATTAGGGTCTAATTAACCCGGTCGGAGAATGTCGTGTGATTTTCAAGGCGATCGATATTTATATAGTTCATATTTAATACGTTAATGCTGTCATGCGTTGTTCAAATAATTCACTTTATAAATAATGCAAAAACTTTAAAACAAAAGTAATATTGTTGGGGGATTTTAGATTATATAATAAAAAATTATATTCATGCCGCAGTTTTGTTTGCTTATTAATGCATTATTAGGATACAATACATCGATTAGCATATTGCAGTTTCGAACTATCAATTCAAACTACTGTAGAACGAATTTACCATGTCATACCTTACCAGATCCACTAACCTCATTGTTAGCACACCCAGTATTTTGACTTAACCCGTATTGTTAGTGGCTTTGTTTGTGACAATATCGTCTACATTTCTCATATTAACGTTGTCTTTTAAATCTTATTATTTCAATGATTTTGGTATAAATCAGTACACAAAATTTATTCTCGGAGAATTCCTATCGCTATTCATCCAAATGTCGTAACCAAATTTCATTGGCCGCTATATCTGGAAATTTTATAATATTTGATAATATTTGCTGTCAGAATAAAACAGATTACATAATATAGAAATTTATACATTTATATTTAATTATCTATCTCTTGAAATTTAGGAATCCATTAGGGTGAAATATACAAAGAAATTTCAAAAGAATAATTACAATCGTTTACACAATTATATATAATAAACATTTACTTGAATTTGTGAGTATTTATGCTATTTTTAAAAAAATAATTTATTTATGGTGAATATCTACCTTCATACACTTTAAATTTTCTTACATTTTTTAAATAATTTCGATGTAATATGGGACGTGTTTGCTCTAAATTTATTAAAAGAACCAATTCTATGGATTCTCTAAGTACACAAAGTACACAAAATCAATTTCGATACATTGATGGTAGAAGATTTCATAACGTAGAAAATTCTAAATATCATTTACCAAACGATGAAAATGAAACAGATAGGCTACATTCACAACATTTCTTAATAAGATATCTTTGGCAAAGCAACTTTTCTGCTCCTGTTGATAATCTTTTGTCTAAACCAGATGCTAAAATCCTCGATATTGGGTAAGTAAAGTAATTAAATTTATGTTAATTAATTGCTTTGATATGGGAATAATACAAAAATGTTCATTTCTATTTATTATAAATTTATTATGATCCGCATAAAAAAATCAACCAATGCTCATAAATATATTACGACAGGGTGAAACCCGCGTCGGAGGTGGTTACGTTATTGATGCACATCACTGCCTAAATGACAACTAAAACTAATTAAAAATAGATCTGCATCAAGAAAGTAACCTAAAAAACGCGAGTTTCACCTTTTTCGGATCTACAAACTCAACGCGGGTTTCACCCTGTTCTAATATATTTATCATAATCTTGAATTATAATGTTTCTTAAAATAAAAAAACTCATTTAAAATTTACTTTAAACCAACTTATTGATAAAATGTGTAATAGATCCTTTAGAAGTGATTCTAAATTACTATAATTATTTAGCATTTATTAAATAAAAGCTTACGTATATTCTATTTTAGATGTGGCGCAGGTTCATGGTCTTTTGATATTGCAACCGCGTACGTACACCATGTCTAAGTCATAGTTGAGAATAATTATGCATTTTGATTTTTGGTTTTGAATCTTACTAGAATTATTAAATTTTATAACATTTTCTTAGGTATCCATTAGCCAAGGTTGTTGGATTAGATATATCTCCATATCAACCAACTACGATAAAACCTAACAACTTTGAATTCGTCAAGGGAAATGTTCAAGAAAGATTACCATTTGATGATAATACTTTTGATTTTGTATTCCAACGATTTTTAGTATTTGGTCTTATCAAAGATAAATGTCCAGACGTAATGAATGAGTTAGTCAGAGTTTTAAAACCCGGCGGATTTTTAGAGGTATGCTTATTTAAGATATGATATAAATAATGAGTGTTAATACTGTATTTAATAAAGTAATTTATGTTTTGATTCCTTTTTTTAAAAAAAAGTTATGTGAGCCTTCTAATGTATTTGATGCAGGACCAGTTACTAGACGTTTATGGGATTGTGGTGTGTATCTTGCTGTTATAATAACTGTTATAATAATAGCCTTATTCGTTTATTTACATAATGTTATATTCAATTATCATGAAGAATACGAAATATTAGAAGAACTTGGCAGTGATTTCAATTTATGTCAAAAGTTAGAAGCATATTGTCAAAACCAAGGTTTTTTTTGTCTCTCTTTATCTAATTATATATTATAATTTACAGTATGTCATTTTGTAGATAAAATCATCATAATTTATTTATTAAGAATTAAATATTTTCGATATTAGGTTATTTAGAAAATATTAAAAAAGAAGTTAAACGAGTCTATTACGGTCCAGTCTATAATAATGCCGAACTTAGCAAAGCGGTAATGTATTGTACGAAATAATTTGTTAAAAAAAAAATTTTAAAATTGGAGAAGTATTTAATATTTTATTAAATAACAGATTCTCAATAATATAATTTCTGTGTATGCTTCTCTTAAACCTATTTTAACAAAGAAAATGCAAATTTCTGATGAAGAATACGATGAGTTAACTAAAACTTCCGTAAAAGAAGTAGTGGAGCATAATTCTTATTTTCAAATAGTTCGTGTTTATGCAACCAAAGTTATTCATGAATAATAATGAATTTAAAATTTTTAATATATGCGATTAATGAATAATTTTGAAGACAATACTAAAATTAAAACACATTCATATACAGTATGATTGTTAAGTTCTAGGATACATTTTTAGTTTTTTTGAGTTTTAAGTTAATCCTTTTTTTGTTGAAAAAAAAAACTTGTTTGTAACTTATTTATTTAGATTATATATTTTTTATTTGAATATTTTTAATATTTTATTTTCTTAACGCCAACAAGAAATTGATTGATCCATTCTAAATTTTCTAAATTTATTTGTACTGTTATATTTTGATTTGTTATTTCGTATTTTGTGCATTCTCGTGAGGCGCCATATTGTCCACTTTGAAATCTCTAGTCGAAGCATGTTTGCAAATTAATTCTTGAACATAATGTTCGTTACATTACGTAACGTGCGTTACCTACGGAATTTTTTTTTTTTTTTTTTACCAAATTTAGGTTGTATTTATAATTGAATTAAGGCTTGTATTTTGGCTTGATTCCTCATGCCTGAATATATGGCTTATTAAAAATATTTTGACGTCTAGCACAAATGTTTGTCCGCTTTCCATATTTGCTATTGTTGGTGCAACAAAATGTTTCCCTATTATAGATGTTCAATAAAATAAGTTTCGAAAATATTCGTTGCTAAAAAATTGATGGTCTCATGAATCTAGTTAATAAGGATACTGATGTAAATAGTCCTACGTAAGCAAATAATAATATGAGCTAGCTATAGTATAGTTGTAAAATAAACCCAAAAGTTTCGTCATAGATGAAAGATGAAACTAGGTTACATCTTTCGTCATGCGAAAAAAATGTTTTCCCCAATATCGTTCCAGAAATTCTACGGACACGTGACTTTTTTGTGACGAACGAAAAAATCTTGTTCATTTATGTTAGGGCTTGTGCTTATTATATAGTTAGGTATTAAGTGTATATCTTAGTAAATTTGTCCGAGAAACTTTTGATTAGAGCACTAAAGATGGTTTCTCATGCAAATTTTTGATTTATAAGCGATTTTTGACAAAAAAACGGTTCAAAATTTTTCTGATCGTACCAGATCTTGAAATTGGATTTATTAGCGCCTCTTTAAATTAATCCCCCTTGGAACTATAGAAAAATGTGCATTTAGAGATGGTATACATTTTTGGACGTCATTTTCTTAAGTGCACTATATGTTTGGCTAAAGATTAATGTGCATTCAGAGAGGTATACATAGTTGCGCATTTATGTGGATATATTTATGGAGGATTTACTGTAGTAATTACAATATATTAAAAAAATTTTTAACATATAAAATTTTTTACCAGGTAACCGGGTTGTAAGATAAAATTTTTTAAAATAAAAATTTTTTTATTAAAAAAATTTTTTTTAAAAAAAATTAAAATTCGAGTCGGCGGGTCATCAAAGGTTAGGTGATGATATGAAAACCTATAGTATAAGTTTATATGGCCTTATTTTAGTCTGAATTAAATTTAGATAATCTCAGTATCATAAAACTAAAATTATTAGCAAATAATAATTATTTATAAATTATGAGCCATTTTAAGAAGCATTGATTAATATTGATTTAGAAGATTTTAAAATACTTTATTTAATGATATATTTTATAACTTAAAATATATCTAAACTATTGAATGGCCTAGTAACTCATTGAGAAATCTTCAAGTAAAGTTCAAAGAAAAAAATTTACCTGATTTTTGAATAATTCAAATATTCTAACTTTTTTAAAACTTTAGACAAATACTTTTCAATAATTACCAAATTAAATTTGACAAAAATTTTTTTATTTCAATTCTGCAGAATTATAGAATTAAAATAAAAAAAATGTTCACTAAATTTAATGAAGTTATCAAGGAACCTTCACTAGAAGTTTAATAAAAATTAAAAATTTAAAACAGATCGATTTTTACCAGCAAAGATTACATAATTATGTGCATGACCTTCACTTATATTGTTTAACAATTAAAGATATTATTTTATTGTCTTTATAGAAGTTTTGCCTTGATTTAAATCTGAAATGCACTCACTAAATTATATTTTCATATGTCAATCACAGCTTATTAAAGGTTCCTGATCTCTTGACCATGATTTTTGTCAAGTGCTTAAGTTTACGTCTATTACACTATATAAAGTACTATACATACTGTATGTACTGTATGTACTGTACGCGAAAAAAATTAGGCTATCATATAAATGGCACATCACTATTTCTGGTAGAATTTGACGACAACCATTTCATTGACAACTGCTTTGCTGGCAATCTCTAACAATAACTATAAAGCAGGCCAACCCTAACTAAATCAGGCCAAAATTTTTTGGCATAATGGCTGTTAGCAAAATAGTTGTCAGCAAAATTAGCTTATGATATTAGATCGTAATGTTTATTCTGAGATACATAGAGTTGACAATTACAAATGCCATAACAAAATGATAGTAAAGACATGATTTTTAAACACAAGTTTTTGGCATTTTTGCTTTTTTTTTTATCAGATTGTTTATTAGGTTGATGAGTTGATAGCCACTAATCATCAAGGGCCATAATAAAGGATTGTAATTAAGAATTTAATAATAACTTTCTAATATTATTGATTAATATACATAAAATACCTGAATAATTCTCGTAATTATAATAATTCCAAAATTAGACATATTTGCTTTAGAGGGATTAGACAAGGGTCGCAAATGGAATGCTTGGTGATTCAGAATTTGCATTGTCTTATGCCATCATAATTGATTTTGCACAGATTAATCTTGCTCAGGGATAAGCAATTATCTCATATTATCAAATGCAGAAGTTAATAGAATCATACCTGAACCTTAATTGTGTTTTCCTCATGATCCTGATTTTGCAGCATTACCCGGTATCTGTATTAGCTGTAGTATCTGATTGGTGTCTGGTATTTGGATCACTGCTTACCGTAATTTATCAGATAAGGTACCCATGATCGGTACTCTTTGATCTTTACTTACCTGTATTTGCGCTGATTTTATATGCTTCAAGGTTATTTGTTATGGCGTTTTGTAAGATACTAGATACAACTCAATAGCTGATTTCATAGCAGTGTTAAAGATCTGATATTCTCAGTGTTCTCAAGAACATTTAAAAAAAATTGTATTTAAAAAATATGAGAACCAACTAAGAACATAAAATTTATAATTTATGTCCTCATATGATATATAGAAAATATATAATTTCTACTTTTTTTTTTTTTACCATTAAGAACATTAAAATTTTTATGAGAACATAAAATTATCAATTTATTTTCTCAAAGAACCAAAAAAATTTCAGATCTTTAACACTGCTTCATAGTAAAAAATTTTTTTTCTAATAAGCAAATACGGGGGTATAAGTCATTAGGGATGGTAAAAAAAACGTTTTAAACAGTTTTTTAAACATTTTTTTATTGTTTTAAAACTTTTTTTAAAACATCGAAGTCTGAGATAAAATTTTGCTGAAATGAAAATATTGCTTCTGATTAATTTTAATTGTCAGCAAAGAAATTTTTTTAAAAAAAAGCGATGCTATATAATTTCGAATTTATAAAAAGAGTAAAGTTATTCATCGCGTTATGCGATGCGCTTTATATGTCGCTTTTCCAATCGAATTTCGAGATCAGGTGTAACGTTACACAAGCAAAAATTCAAAACAAACGTTCGTTTTTTCAAAAATCGTCTATAACTTAAAATCGAGCATATGAAACTACTCTTTGGATTCTAACAAAAAAAATTCCTTCAAAATTTTACTATAAAAACTTTTCTTCGCCTGTACATACAATCATTACCTCACCCTAACTAATGAAAAATGTATTATTTGAATTGTTTTGGTTTTCCGTTACACTTGATTTTAAGGTGCGACACATCGCACCTGCGATGTATAAATTATCTCATAAATTTATAAAAAATATATTTGATCACTTTAATTTTATCAATTATATTTTTAAACACTTTTACTAAAACGCACCTATGGTGTTTTACCACCTATGTTGTATTATCTCAAAAACTGGCTAAT